TTATTAAAAACATTTTTTTTTTCATCTTTCTCTAGTCAAGTTCTGATTATCAAGCCATTGAGGCTAGGTCAAATAGGTACTGTCTGCACGTTTGGGTGTTCTTGTGCATCTCCCCTCACTTCATATCAACTGGATGCTTCACTCTCAGCTCTAGCCCTCTGTGGCTATGTCCTTGTCCATGGGCTCAAGTGTCCTCAGGTCTCATCACACTTTGGACTAACCAGCCCTTTCTCTTCTATATCTCATCTCCAGGGCTATGGAAGTCAATAGACTGTAGTTGAATTCAGCCCATTCTTCATTGATGCCTTTCCCCCTCTTCCACTCACCAGTAGACCAGTGTGATCCTCAGAAAGCTTACATGCCTGCTCGTATGTTCCCTTTGAGTTTCCGTCTTAGAGGGGGTTTTGTCGTGAAGGAACTTGATTGCTTGCCTTGATGACTTCTGGCAAACAACTTGCTTATTCTTGAAGTAACCAGACATACTGACATTTTTGTTTTGGGTTTTTCCTGATGATCCTTCTTTGAAGATGTATCTGCTTTCATTCTAACTGTTCCAGGCTGGTCTGCCTGTCCTTTCTAGTGGGGATGTCCCACTTCATTCAGAAGGTTCTGGATGGAACTCCGGATTCCATCTAAGGCCCTATACTCTGCAAAGGCTTGCAAGAGGCCTATTTCACTGGGCAAGTTCTGGAACCCCTTTTAGGTATTCCAGTCAGTTATAGGCTGAAGGTAGGCCTGCAAGTTTTCTGTAATCATATTTCCCGACATTCCTTTATATCCCACTCAAGTATATATTTTATAGTAGTAGGCAAGGGAAAACAATATTCATAAGGCAATCAACTATCTTAGTATTATTTACCCTCTTCAAACTATGCCAAATCCCTGTATCACAGAGCTCTGTTGTTCCAAGGTTGAGCATGCATCACTATTTACCGCTGTCCCACTTAGACATGCAAACCTGTTTCAATCTTCCCCTATCTACCTTCCACCTCCTCCCTCTTGTCGTATTGCCCTCCCCTACACCCGAACTATGATGTGTCTGCCCTTACCCTGTGTTCTACCATT